GTCTATAGGACTTTTTTTCTTAGTTTTTTACTCCTCTACACGCTCCCGAAGTTTTGCCATTTAATTTGGAAACACCCTGTATATATAAGCAATAGTCAGTCTTAAATACATATAATAAACTCAAATTTTAAATATGTAATAAATTATTGCAGACTCTGAAGTTGCTTTACAATAGAGTAACATGTTACTCTATTATAAAACAGAATATATATATATGTTAAATTAAAGGTGCAGTCGAGTTGCCACTACGAATGCTACGAAGCATTTTTTTATTGGTCAATGAGTGAAATTCTTTTTTCTAATTGGTTAATCAAATGCTTCGAAGCATTCGTAGCGGCAACTCGACCGCACCCTAAAACACAATAAAAAGTAGTGTTTTTAAATAGAAAGTTCCATTAAAATCAAATAAGAATAAAATAGAACTTATTTCAAAATGTTCATTAGGATATTTCTCTTTAGTACATTTAATTTATTCATTATAAAATTGATGTATTCTTAAAAATTTAGGAGAAAAAGAAAAATGTAGATGTTGTGCAAATATATATATAGTATATATATGTATATATATAAAACAGATAGTTCAAATACTAAATATTATTTTATTATATATAATAACAAATTAAAACTCATATACATTGTATTGTCATTTATTAAATTTCTTATAAAATTCGACTATTGGATGACCGTGTCTTTCAGACACTGGAACATAACGCTGTTGTAAGGCAAACCAACCGATATGAAGTCCTATAATTAATGGTAATATGACACAGAACGTAACGTTCTTTCTTATAAACTTTTTCATATTAGACTGTATTTTTTATCTTCTTTCTAAAATAGATATATCCTAATTAAATAGTAATCGTTAGTATTTGTATTCCACCTCTGCTCTACACCAATTATATATCTGAAACACAAAAAATCTCTCAAAATATTTGTTAAATTTACACAAAATATCTAGCTAAAACAATATTATCCAAATAAACAAAATTTTTGTTTGTTTATCAAAAATACATTCGCGATAAAACAATTCAACTATCTGTAATAATAGATATGCAGAATATGCAACAAATTAATAAAAGAAAGTAAGATAATGATTACGAAAAAGAGAAAATAAGATAGTGAAATGTGATTAATATATTTTTAATATGAAATATAGAGATATTGATAAATTTACGATGCATATAATGAGCTAACCTATTATTGTGTGACAAAAGTATTTACAGATCCATTAAATGAGGCGCAATCCAACTATTTTTAAATAATTCAGAATTTTCTAGTCAAGTCCTTTGAACAATTCAGTAATTATTCACTACGTTTGTATATCTCACTTAATTATCACCATTATCGCCAAATATCGGATCAATTAGCTACAGATTAGGGATGCACGATACCGGATCGATATTGTCAGTATCGATATTTTTGCATCCGATACACGATATTTTGGATCGACGCATGGGGGTTCGATATTATCGACGGATCGATACTTTTGGAGAGTGTCGTATCGAAGCGGCCATCTTGAGATTGTCAACACTGGCCTAGTTTTCACCGAGGGTTCGATCCGGATCAGAATGCAAGAACCAACTACAATCGAGCATTCCCCTGTTAGGGTGAAATAACACGGTGCGGAAAAAGACTACGGATTAGAGAATGCGTCATTGAAGTAACCAATCAGCGCTATTCGGAATGGCTACGCTGATTGGTTGCTTCAATGACGCATTCTCTATTCCGCAATCCTTTTCCGCACCGTGTGATTTCACCCTTAGTTTCATTACCTTTATTGTTTCTATTTCCTAACATAATGTCTGTAAAAAGAAGTCCACTGTGGCAATATTTTGTAAAAAACACGACTACCGGAACTTGTAAGATCTGTTTGAAGGACGTCCTAAGAAGTGGAAATACTACGAGTTATTCGAATCTAGAGTTATTCTAATATTTAATTTAATCAGAATGTATTTATTTTATTTTATATATGTATGTTATGAATATAATTCTATAATAAATGAGTAAAATGTGATTTATTATTTAAAAAATCGTCTACGCACCGAAAAATTAAGGTATCGGCACCTCGATATTGGGGTATCGATACTTTCGAGCCCGATACTACAAGGTATCGATAGTTTGATCTGCGATACGGATCGATCCGAGATATCGATACAATTGAAGGTATCGTGCATCCCTACTACAGATCCTACAGGTAAATAATGGCTGCGTTCAGCAGAACGTTCGTTTTGCAACTATTGGAAGTTTCCTTCGAGCTGATTGGATCATACTTCTAGATCTAAAAGTATGATCCAATTAGCGCGAAGGAAACTTCCAACAGTTGCAAAATAAACGTTCTGCTGAACGCAGCCATTGGGTGCGTTCAGCAGAACGTTTGTTTTGCAACTGTTTTAAATTTCCTTCGCGCTAATTGGATCATACTTTTAGATCTAGAAGAATGGTCCTATCTCAGCAGACAATCATAAAACGGTTGCAAAACTGTTGAGTCTGCTGAACGCAGCCATTGATAATTACGATCGTGTTTCCATAACCTTAAGTCTATAGCGTATAATTCATTGAAAATAAGAATTCAACCAATCGGGACAAAAGAAATCAAGATTACTCGATTATCTGATTGGTTAAATTTTTCAATGTCCAATCTTAAGCTGATTCTACATTGATCGCATCGCAGCGTCGCAAGCGTGTCGCAAGCGTTATGGTCCAATCAGAGTCGAGCTAGCTTGACGTTGATTGGACTGCAACGCTTGCGACGTTGCGATGCGACTAATGTAGAACCAGCTTTAGTCTTTACGCTTGCAAAATATGTAGTATGATATGGACTTTAGATTTAAAAGCGGGAAAATGTTGAGAAAAGAAGAAACGCCTAACCTCTTTGCGTGGTTCTCTTTTTCGATGATTTAATTTATATTACATAGTAAATTTATGTCTGTTTAATGTAATTACTTAATTTCGTAGCACTGTGTATGCTTTTTTTTATTCGTAACTGTATGTTTACGTATTGTATATAACGATGGCTGACAGTAAATGCATACAGATGATTCAAACAAATTTTTCATTATACGGCTTGGTATTATCAAGGTAAGATCGAGTATTCTACTTATTAAATTAAAGAATTTCACGACAAAAAGATGAAAAGTTCTTTAACACGTTCATGCTGGGATGTACCACCAGTGGTACATGCACAATTGACAAATTACAGCCTCGTGAACGTGTTAAACAAATTATTAAAATATAAATAAATTTTTAATAGTTTAAATCTTATTTCTATAATGTATATTTATAATGTGTTTTATATATTAATATAATGTGTGTAATTAATACATAATAGTAACTACTTTCTTAATACATATTTTCTATAATATTAATTTTACATGTAATTGCACATAACTCATAAAACAATTACTTATAATTATTTATATTTTTTCTAGAGAACTTAGAGTATCTCTCGCAAAGCAATTATTAAAAATACCACAAAATGAACGTGAACCTTGGCTTAGTCGTATTATAGAACTGATTCTGGCTCAAAATTTGGATGATCCACATGTTGGAGCTGAACATATAAAAATTGCTATAGAAGAATGCTCAGAGCCAAATAAATTGAAAGACACAGAAACAGTGTTCAATGTTATAGATGGATATAATATACCAAAAATAAAATACGATATTTCTAAAAAGAAATTTATCATTGACAATGAAAACTCATATCCTGAAACACAATATAAATCATTGGTTTTTAAATATCGTTTTGAAATGGCATGGTATAAAACTCTAAGGCACAAGCAATTTTTGTCATCTAAATTTGAGAAACAGCAAACACATAAAACAAATTTAATACCTATCGAATATCTATTAAGTGAGCTGAGAACAGGGAATGTATGCATAATGGGTCTAATAACACAATTAATGGAAGATCAATATTATTTAGAAGATACAAGTGGAACTGTCAAGATTGACCTCAGCAATACAATATCCTTTTACATATACTTAATTACTGCATTTTAAAATATTTGGTTTTATTTAAAAAATACATTTTAAAATCTATGAAAATATTTCATATGGACAATGGAAAAACATTTAAACAATAAGAAAAACATTTCCCAATTTATTCCAAATACTATTCAAACATCATATAAGTTTAGTGATGTGTTATTTTTCAATACTAGTTTTGAAGCTATACTTTTAATTGATATTTTGTGTATGATAAAAATAAGTTAATGATTAAATGCTTTACTTTATAATATGAAATTATGAGCATGAAATTATAATCATAATTAATTATATCTTGATCATATTTTGAAAAATTAGAAAAAGATAGATTTCTGGATTCATCATATAAAATATTTTTGTTCGTTGAAGTTTGGCTGGTTTTTTTTTAAGTTAACTATATATATATATATATATATACATGAAGGTATACTATCTTTAAAACATAGCAGTAGTAGTAGTAATATACAAAATTATTTTTCTTACTTTATGTATAAGATTTTCAAGATACTTTTATTATGGAAGGTTTTATAGTAATAGTCAACGGTGTTTACAAGGATGATATATTACATGTAAAAACTATCAACCTTCCACCAATAGAATCGTCGGAAAGCTTGCGATCAGATTTTGGCGACACAAATACATTTGGTGGCCCACATAATATATCTTTAAAAATGTCAGAAAAATTACAAATCCACGAAGAAACTAACCAGGATGGAATGATAGTATTCATAGCAGAATTATGGTTGGATGTTCCACGTGTTTTACAAAAATTTAGGACAATACTGGATGGTTACATAGATTATCCTCCTATAGCTTTTGTATTGTGTGGTCATTTCTTAAGTTTCCACCCTACAAATATAACTAGTGCGAAAGCTTTGATAACAGGTTTTAAAAATTTAGCTGACATAATAACACAATACACAAATATAAAAGAATCTACCAAATTTGTTTTTGTACCTGGCCCACATGATTTAGGCTCTCCTAAAATTTTACCAAAACCTCCTTTACCTAAATGCATTATTGAAGAAGTTACGAAAATGATACCAAACGCTATTTTTACAACAAATCCATGTAGAATACAGTACTCTACAAAGGAAATTGTAATATTAAGAGAAGATATGTTGACAAAAATGTGTAGGAATACGCTTCGTTTTCCGAAAGAAGAACATTTTTTTAAACATGTAAGTAGATGTTAAATCAAATACTATCAAATATATATATATATATATAAAAAATGATTTCAATATTTATCACAAATTTCAGTTTGCCAAAGCCATCATCAGCCAATCACATCTGACCCCAGTGCCTCTTCAAGTTGTTCCAGTATATTGGAAATATGACCATGCTCTACAGATATTTCCAACACCAGATCTCATTGTAATTGCTGACAATTTTGAAACATACACGACTAACTATTCTGATTGTTATGTGATAAATCCCGGAATGTTCGCGAAAAACAATTTTTCGTTTCAATCTTATGTGCCTGCCATTAATCAAATTCAGGATTGTCAACTTCCAAACGACACCAATGTTACTTAAGTCGAGAAGATAATTATATGAAAAACCATAACAATTTTCTTCATAGACATTGTATAAATTACACTGGATATTAATACATAAGTGATTTATAAGTTTGCATATTTATTTCGCTTTGATAACAAAATCTTGTTTATTTTTACAATATTTCGAAAATGCGTTGATAATAAGTCCTTAAATTATAATTTTCGACACTATATAAACGTCGAAACAAATTAAGCTCATAGGACAAAAATAATTTAATCATGAAAAGGACTTCTAGATGATTTCTTACAATTAATCTTCTGTGTCCAATAATACAGTAGGAAATATTGAGACAATTTCAATTTTTAGGAATATATTTATAACTTCGTGAACAGGGGCGTGCCTAGTGAGCATATGCATGTGTGTGCAATGTGTGCCAAAGCTAGAGGTAACCGAAACACGCCTCTGATCATGAACATATCTTTTTCTAATATTACCTGCTTTTCTTATATCTCCTACATTAGAGAGGATGACAGGAATATGTATCAAATTTGAATAGGACACAGATTGTACGCGCATGCTTACTTCTTCCATTAATTCATATAAATAGGTACATAGAATATTAAACACAGTGTTTCTACCGTTTTGCAATATACATAACATTATACAGGTACAGACTGGGCCCCAATTTATTTCAATTTTGTTGCGCTGGAAGCATAAGTCAATTACTGGCCGTAATAAATCAAACACGTTTTTTAAGCGTAAAGAGTTGTTAATGTCCAATCGTAATATTACAACATGATAATACTAACACCTTGTGTGAGCAATATAATTTCATCCTTTAGCAACTAGTTGCTTTGATGCTAGAAAATATAGCGCATACAGATGTTACAGAAACAAATTTAATTTAAAATCAAGGTAAATTAATAATGATTTCCTGGAAGAAATTTTTTGTATATTATATTCTATGGTTTCGCTTATAAAATATTTCAAATGCAACATGCTCTAAATATTGTTAATACTTTACATAACGGAAGTTAATGATCGACACAAATATAAGTTTTCTTCAAAACATTTAGGAAGCAAATTTGATATTTTAAATATGAAGTTAAAAAGTGCGAACATGTAGAATCTCACAAATCGAAATAAAGGATTATGTGTGTGTGTATGTATTCACACACACGCACGCACGCACGCACTCATACACGCGCGCACACACACACACACACACACGAAAGCATAAATTGCAACTACACACATTAATTCATCACATATATTACAGTGCTATCTGTAAAAAAAAAGTACACTCTTATGTCTATTGCACTTCCTTGTAAACACATTATTTTCGTTATTTTCGTACGTTATTCAATTCCTCCTGCAAAAATTATCATAATACATAATAATACATAATATTTTATTTTAATACATATATTTTATATACAAGTAACTTCAGTCCAAACGGACGGCGTAATAATTCTTCATGTTCTGTATCTCACGAACCATTATTTTTCGTATGTAGTTCTTCTAAAAGAAATTATAAGTCATATTTATAGTGTTCATGTAATTCACAAAATAAAAAATGCAAAGGGTCACCTTGTGGTTTGATTAAAATTATAATTATAATTTTTTATTATTTTATGACTAAACAACGTATAATAAAGATAAAAAAGAAATGTCTTATTCCAATTTAACGTTATAAAATATATTTTAATATTACGAATTAGCTTAGCTGTAATCAGTATTGATATTTTCTGTAAAAATTGTTAGCTATATCGGGGAAAAAAACAGAAAAAGATAGTCAATGCAATTGTTTACGCACTTTCTCTTTGATATCTTCGGCAAGCCTGATTTCTTTCTTCGGCGTCGAAATACCAAAGCGTAATGGCATATCTCGTTTTGAACGCTGGTTGCACCTCATGCGGATTTCGCCTGTCCGACCAGAAAAATAATATCCTATCGAACAAAGGTTCTATGTTTGCTACTTGATCGCGCCACCCTTCAGGAAATATCCTCAAAAGTCCGCCATTCTCCTGCGTACAATAAAAAATACGCATAATTATTTATAAATTTCTATCGTGATAAATTATTTTATTGGACTTTATTATATTTTACTTTTGTTTAAAAAATAATGCTATATCTGCAAATTTTTATCAATATTGCTAATCCATTACTGCAAACATGATGGACATGGTGATATAAAAAACATGATTATATTTTTGTTATGCACATATATAATAAGAATAGATTTTATATGTATATATATATATATATATAAAGGTATATATATTTTAAATTAGAATCCTTGCTACAAGCAGTTGCTTGATATTTATAAGAACTCAAAAGTTACTTATAAGGATATATATGTAGATATATACTTTCTTTAAACACAATCGCGTATGTGTGTGTAATGTGACAAATAATTAACAATTAAAAATATATTAATACGTTATAAATATTAAATATATTAATACGTTAAATTTCACCTTAACATCCCAATCTCGATTAAGATAATAAATGGCTGTGATGCAACGTCCATCTCGGTTAGGATTATCCACATGTTTCACATAATGTGTACCGTGACCGGGATAACAAGCTACCATCGCCTGTAATTTTGGAAGAAAAATATATTTTATTAAAAGAGAGAGAGAAGTATATAATCGACAGATTATTATGAATTGTGACTAGCTTTGTAAATTCCGAAAATATTCGGTTATTTAAATATCTTGACGCAAGTCGATTTTACGCAATAAATAAAAAAAGTTATTATATTGATTTGTACTATCAAATATGAATGATGACATGGGAAGGTATTAATTTATTCCGATGCGCAAGGAAAATGTATTTAATTTTACATATTTGACGTCATAATTTAATATTGCTGCAATGAGAAATCTGCAAAGATATCTGCGCACGTTATTTTTCTCTCTTTGAAATATAAATATTTTTTAAATCAAATTTTACATCTTATATATACTATGATGAATATTTATATGTCTAAAAAGATAACATGTCATATTTTTTAGAAATATGTACAAGAATACTAAATAATTTAAAATACAATCTGTGCAGTTATATGTACATAGTTTTATTTAAAAAGAAAGAACATATAGATAACGAGCAACAATTGAGGACTAGCATTGTCGTATTTAAAAACAATTATGCCTAGATAATATTACATGTATTTTAACGCAATACAAATATATAATTTAATGGAAGAAAGAAAACTATATGTAACATGTATAATATACATTTTTAATACGTAATATATCACGTTTATCATTTGTTCCATTGATGAGCGGGAATAGTGCAATAGTCATTAATAGACAAAATATTTTATACTTCTTTTTATCTTGCCAAAATCGATATATACCATTGTATTATACTTACGACGCAATTATAAGACAAAAATAATTGGCTGACTCAGTTCACAGCGAAAGTAAATTACCTTATGTATGTAGTCTCACATTTTCTGATAACAAAGTCTGCCTATTATTAATAAACTGATGATAAAGTCGCAAAAATTCTTACATTAATTTTTTTAGTACTTCAGAGAAAAAAAAAGAATATACTTTTCTAAGTACACACGCTTTCTTCTATACGGCTTTTAACATATGGTCTTCAGCTAATTTTGACTTTAAAGTATCATAGAAAGTACACTTGTATGTGTGTGTGTTCCACAAGAGACATCCTAAATGTATTACAATACACAAAGAATGTTTTACGTAATGCTTTCTACATTTAAAAAATATAAAATGTATTTGTGTTAAATACATGTTCAAACGTCTTGACTTTCAAAGACATGGCCATTGATCAAAATGTCTTAGATTTTTTATCACACGTAACTAAACATAGGCATATTTCTTTGAAACTCCAATCATTAATTATCATTGTAATTTATGTAGTAAAGAATAAACGCGACGAATATATACTAGTTTCTTTTATTCGTCATTTGTTATTCGGACAAGGATATTTATATGACTCTAAAATACGCATCCACAGATGGATTAACTGAGATATGTGTATTATTGTAAATATTTGCGTACGCGCATAATTTATGACAGCTGTAAAAATGACATTGTCTATTTTATAAAATAAAATATTATAAAATAATAAATTAAACGATCATCCATGCTTTCTTTCTATCTTTTACTTCAAATTAAACGAGTTAACATATGTGATACAGATGATATACAATGTCCTTGTCTTATTATGAGTAATCGGATATTTAACTAAAAATAGATTGCTAAATACAAAAGGATAACGATAACGACCACAATTCAAATAATTATTAAACTAGTAGTTTTATGAGCTGCAATACAATCGCGAACAATACGAGAAATATCCTGAATTTATTGATAAAACAAAAGATGACATTTATAGGATTCAATAGCAATTATATTCAATTGTTGTAGCGCGCTATCATAGAAACATGAAAATTTCATAACAGGATGTCCTACGTATCAATTTTATATTACATAATTATTCCTTTAGCGAAAGTTTTAATTTTTCTTTTGTTTTGTATTGCATCTCAATTTTCATTACAAGACTTCCAAATCTAAATCTTTTGTAAAGACAAAAATGTATAACTGTATTGTAATGAGAAATTTCTCTTCGTATTTTATCTTTGCGTCTCTTCAAATACATATTTATTTCTTTCATTATTTACTAAGCGTATTAAAAATCTGTATTCTATTATATTTAAATGACCGGATATATGAAAATATGTTATGCTATTACCATTTTTTACGTTAATAATACACAGACAAAAGATCGATCGGAAACGTATTTTTCGCTAAATATCCATCTTCGTGGAAAGAAATGACTAGACGCCAATGCGATCGAGCAGCTGAACGGGAGTTTAGGTAGTATAAAGCGAATTTGCTGTATCGCGTCACCGGCACAGCGTCGGCATGAGAAGAGAAAGAGCTGGAGGGTGGGAGTCGCGCGGCGTACGTGACTGACTGCACTTGGCGCGATCCCACTCTCCTCCTCCTTTCGGCATATAATACAATACTCCCTCGTAGATCTTTACATTTTTGGAGTTTTGACCTTGTCTAT